TTTTATGTATAATTGAATAGAACACATGGGATTACCTAGAAAAAATGCCTCTCTAATTTTTAAAAGTAGGTTTCTCAAAAAAAAAATCTCACATTTGAGATTTTATTAAAAAATCTGTTAATGTTTCATACAGCCGTGAATAGAATAGTTTTTTTCATTTTCTTCAATTTAATAAATATTTTCTTTCTTCGTTTCACAACATATAATTGACTAGAAAAAAATAATTTATTAAGATTGTTAAAATATTGTGTAATTATGCTTTGATTCCATATTGAGAAAAATAATTTTTTCAATAAGACTGACGAAACAACAAAAAAACGTTCCTTGTATTTAAAGATTTTGACTATCAATAATTGAAAAACAAGGAAAAGAAATATGATATCCAGAATTAACGCATTGGGCCCGATTCAGTTTTTTTAGAAAAATTTTTCGAGATGTTCATTTTTATGAGCAGTTAATTTCTAATAAATGCACTTAATAACCTTTTCGTTATCTTCTACTGATTATCTATCGTTCTCTTCTTTATATCACTACATAATGAGTCATTTTTTTCTGACCAACTGAATAATCGCTCAAGTTACTTTTTTTTGTTCTTTTTCATATTATACGAAGCATGTGCGAGAAAAGGAAGGAAGTTTCCAGCATTTTCTCCCTTATTCTTTTCTCTCTATCGTCTTGTATATAAATACGACCGAAATTTTGGAACAGTTCACATGTCGTTTGAAGAAACCGATACAGAAGATAGCGCTAGCTCACTTAGTGAAGTGAGTTCTCTGGATAATGATTTTGATACAATGCACCTTGAATCTGACAGTTCTGACGAAGAAGCTACTGATGATGACGTGGATTTACATACTTCGAATGAAATAGAATCAGAATCCGATACAGAATTTCTGGAGGATCATGGGCTTATCGAAGAAGTAACATCTATTTCAGAAGATAATACAATCAATCCTATCGATGGCTATCGGCATTTCATTACGGACGAAATTATTAACCTCTTAGTTCGTGAAACTAATCTAAACGCGTAGCAATACTTGCAAAACTATGAGGTTAGTAGACGGTCAATATTTCATCAATGGAGACCAACCACTAATGAAGAGATGCTCAAGTTCTTTGGAATCATTATCGAAATGGGGTAGGTACAAATGCCGAAACTGAGGTACTACTGAAGCAGTAGTCAACTGTATGGTTCAGAGATCATTCGAAATACCATGTCGAGAGAGAGAGATTTGAATTACTTCTCAAATTTTGGTATTTTTCGAACAGTGATAACAGAAATTCGGACCACGATAGGTTGTTCAAGTTGAAACCACTTTTAGATTTACTGAAAGCGACATTTTCGTCAGTATATATGCCCGGTTCAGTTATTACTATCGACGAAAGTATGATACCATGGCGAGGCAGACTTATGTTCAAACAATATATCCCTGAAAAAGCGCACAAGTACGGCGTAAAGATGTACAAATTAGTAGCTACCAATGGATATACCTGGAATTATGTGATCTATACTGGCGAGCAAGACTCCATAGCAGGTCTTGGACATGCTTAAACGGTGGTAATGAATTTGTTAGATGGTCTTTCGGGATGTTATCGAACCGTAGTAGCTGCCAACTTCTTTACCAGTATTTCTCTTGCGAAACGTTTGTTGGAACACGATACGTATCTCATTGGGACACGAAGAAGTAATCGTGTCGGATCGGGAAGCAAAGTTTTTCAAAAAACCCACAGACGTGGTGAAGTTTACGAACTCGAAAATAAAGACGGCGTAAAATTAATCATGTGGAAAGACAAAAAAGAAGTCTTGATGATATCTACAACACTATCACATTCAACAGCTGTCGTTAACATTGGAAAAACCAATAGTAGAAATGAGCGTATCATGAAGCCGCAAGCTGTACTAGATTACAACGAAGGAAGACAGGGTAGTGATTTATCTGATCAGCTATCAGCATATTACACGTGCCACTGGCGGTCAATAAAGTGGTACCGAAAGGTAGCATTTGAATTAGTTTTTGGGACGGCACTAGTAAATAGCTATTTGATATACAAGGAAAACTACGCGGAAAGCAAAGTGATCACTCTGCAGTTTCGTGAAAATCTTGTCCGGTCTTTACTGCTTGGCACGCCAATCGAGAAGCTGAAACCTGATCCAAGACAACAATTAGCAAGTCATTCGAAGCGCAAACTCGCTGATCACAAGCTCGAAGAAAAAGAAGGATCTACGCGCAATGTCGCCAGACAGTGCACTGGCTGCTATGCGAAGGGAAAGACCCAACAGTCAAGAGCAGCGAGCAATACGGCAGCAAAGAAAGTAAGAACCTTCTGTTCTGACTGTGATAAATTTTTTTGTCTTGAGTGTTTTAATGATAAGCATTATGCTATGGAATAAAAGATTCAAATAAAGTACTGAAGATAGAACAAATGACACCTTATGTTTAACCTCTTGCCAAAGAAAAAAAGCAAAAGAAAGTGCTTTTCTATACGGTTTCTCGTTAAACTATAGCGTCGCCCACCGGTGGGCGACATCGGATCCAATGTGTTAAAAATATCATCAGTCGCTATCTGATGAGCTGCACCGAGTAAACATTGATGATCTTACCTACCATTCCTAATGGGATTGCAATCGAATATTTTTATAAGACACTTTAATCAGATGGACGTGTATTGGACTCTTTTGATTTATTTCATATATTAACCGATATGTTTTTCGAAAACATGGTGTATGCCCTTTAAATACGTCACTGCATTATATTAGACGATGATCAGTATGATATCGATTGTTACATTAACAAGATATAGTGCATGTTTTTGCATATTCTCCCTTCATCAAAGCTTTTCAAAGTACCATACATGGCAGTATGCATTGTTGTCTATTTTAGATACTTACTGAAATGCTTATTCAAGTTTTGACTGTAACCTTGAATGGCTCGTGTCGAAATAAAAGCTCGTAAATGTTTCATAGCGGTGAAAAATAGATGTGATAATTTTTTTATACAAAAATGTGTTGTTTTGAAAAGCAGTATATTATTATTTAGAAACCATGTAATAGTTTATTTAAGAAAAAAATTTGGTTGTACTTTTACATAGATAATTATTGCCTTTCTTTTTCTGCTTTTGTTTTACACGTATATTTTCGATATAGCTCGTGCACCTTTATCTCCATGTGAGTCTTATTGATAAAATAAAACATTTCATAACTATAAAAAGTATACGCAGGACATTCTCTAGAGGTGAATAAATAGTAGATAAATGAAATCATACATTGCAAAACATGATGTAAATAAGACAATATATGGCCTTAAACCTAGCCGATTACGAGAACAATTGCATAGTTTTATAGTTGTTTTTGACGGTTGGAATTAGTTCTGAAAAAAAGGACGAACTAGCTCTTGATTTCCACTGTGAAAAGGAAAAATTGAATAAAAAAACAAAGAAATGAACATTTATTTTACTTGAATGCAAGGAAAATTCGAACAATTTCTATCATTTTTCGTTCAGTAAACCAATTATATTGAGTTCAATAAAGAGATATTTCTCTATGCAATTATCTTCTAGTTCGAAATCAAGAGTTCATATTGACAAGTCATATATCCTTAGTACAGAAAGTCATCATATATTTTTGACTTTCATTTCTAGATATATACTATTGTAGACAAGTGAAATGAAAGATTATTCTATTTTTCTTTTATTCATTTAGTAAAATTCGGCAAACATATTGTTGATAGCAATCATCATATTTTATTTTGCAGTTAATATCTATATGTCATTTATATGTCAATAAAAATCTTTGTTCTAAATTAGCAATCATTACAAAAATATGATGCGACATTCTCATGCTGGATGGAATTATAGGAAACTTAGAGAATCTCATTGTTCTTGTTTTCAGTGATAATAATCAATCTATTTAAGAAAAGTGATTTGTTTTTCTTCTTCGGCATTTCTTAGGACACATTGAGGTACTCTCTCTCTCTCTTCTCGTATTTGCAGAAAACACTGACAACCATGCCATATTTGCCATTTTGTGCGTTGTTTTGGATTATATGATACACAAAATATTCGTTCTTATCTTTCGTCGATTTGTTTCATACGAAAAGAAGAAGCAGTAGTCGTCAAACAACAAGCCATACACTTTGTATAACAATAAATGGTAGAAGTTTTTCGGCGAAAGCCAAGCGCATCTGAAGCATATGATCCATTTTAATTGTATGTGAATCATGAATACTTAAAAATAGGCAAAAACTTTTTGTAATCGCTATGATTTTTCTGTAGTGTTTATTGTAGCTCGACATGCGGGACAATTTTGATGCCAGAAAAAAGTTTTCATTCTACTAATTGATTCACAATTGGACATCGTTACGGTAAAAGTTGATTGATATTTTTCAAAGAATATTTTGTTGAACAATGAATACGTTGTAAAAATTATGTTTTATTCTTCGAAAAACTACTAATTTAATTGAAAATTGAATGTTTTTACATCTAATCTTCGAATATTTTTCTTCGTACTTATTGAAGCCGAAGCTGGGACCCATATTTTTTAACGATCATCCCGTAATCTTTATTTTTATTAGAATTAGACTTAACATTGATAGTTAATCTTCCTCTTTCATACAGGCGAATAATGGCATCCTTTCACTATCAGAAACAAAATCTGAAACTACGAGGTCATGACTGAATCAATACGGTTTTGCACATTCTTATGCATGACCTCAAGTGATAGTCCAATGATTGTCGAATTTCAATTGACTATATGAAATTAAAGTAAACGAATATATTTGCACAATATTTCCAGTTTTAGATTCAGATCATATTACGATTGATAAATTGAACGAAACGAAATATAGCTTCTTGTCCTATTCATGGATCAGACTACTGTTGATATCAATCGTCCTTCATCGATAGAGATGACCAATAATGAAGAAAATCAAGCAACAACTCCGGAGAAACTCCCATTTCTGACTTATCCTCTTGAAAGAATACGAAAAGAGCAAAAACAATTGATGACATTTCATCCAAAAGAATGGTTAAATGGATTTCGACGGAATCCAAAATATCCACTTTTCGTCAAAGGTGATATTGACGGTTTTATCGTTCTCTTCACCAACAATTTAGCCACACTATTAGCCATCATTCTAAGTGCAAAAACGATTTTGGGAAATGATACTATCTATGGACGGATGGTACCAGGGTGAGTATTATTGCGAGAGAGCTATAAGATTTTTTAACATTGGTTGACAAAATACTTCTTCGTCACCGTTTCAATTATCATGATATACGAATAGAAAAGAGAGAAAGAAAGTTCCTAGTAGAACTTTTAAGTGATAAGAATCATGTTTATATAGACTAGTTTCAGAAAAGAACCGTAGTGTAATTATAGAATGTCTTTGGGTATGTTATGGGGCAATTTCTATTACGTCTACATGGCTCGAAAAATAGCTTACAGAGAACAACGTGGAGATGTATGTGTCATGCCTTACGGGATTAGCACAATGGGTGCATTTGCCTTCATCTATGCAATTGTTCTGCCAACTTACAATCAATGTCTTTTAACTCGCAACAAAGCTCATTGTGAAGAATTAGCATATTACGTAGCATTGGCAAGCAATTTTGCAGTTGGTATTATTCTTCTTCTTCTTTGTATTGTCGGTGAATTCATCCGACGGAATACACCTCGAGTGGCTCTTCTTTCGTCACTTTCCGGTCTCGGATTTGCTTATTTGGCAATGAATGAATGTTTACCAGTAATTGCAAACCCAATCGTATCATTTATTCCATTTTTTATCATCATGGTTGGATACTTTGGCGAGGGTATGAAATAGTTTCTTTGATTTTAGAAATGATATTTACTGAATATTTACGTAAAAAAATAAAAGTTCGGCATTGATTAGAATTATATAAATCTTTTTTTCTTTTTTGAAAATGGAACCTCAGTAAATTTTTCCAAATAATTGTTGACAGTAACAATATAGAGAACTGTAGCTTTCACTACTTAAACGAAAGCAATAAACGGCATTAAGTCATACAATTCAGATACGGCTAATAAGTTTATTGAAGATCTTCTACCACAATTTTTGAAAAGAAAGCGTAGTGCTGCATGAAAAAATTAGACTTTCGCTTTTGGCAGAATCATAGAGACATTAATCAAAGATCTATAAAATAATGAAGAGCTAATAATTTTAGCTTTAGCCAACCGAGAATGATAGACATTTTACTGCAAGTAATCAGTCAATTTTTCAAAAATCAATATCTAGGCAGTGAAGCATTTGTTTTAGCTGAGAACTTCGGCACACACTAGGGGTCAGTGTATCTATTCACGTCTGAAAATTCAGATCGAAATAACTTCATTTGATATTATTACTGATACCTTGCTTTAGACCAGAAATTCAATGAAAGTGTTATCATTTAAGATTATCAGTCTTTAAATATGAATGATTTCAGAGCGCTCTTAGTTTCGCTGAGTCCTACCTATCGGTATTATATGATTAATGCATCTAACTTAAGAGTAGTCTTCTAATGGTCATCGTTAAAGTGATTTTTAAAAAACAATTAAGATTGATTGTCTACTATTTTTTAAAAATGAATTTTATAGGAGATCGTACCAATTTTTTTGAAGATACTTGATTTTCTTTAAATTTGAATTTCACTCAACTAGTTATAGAACTATTAAAAGACTAGATTTTTCTCTCTGTCAATTTTCTATAAAGTAGAATTTATTCCTAAATAGTATATTGTGTGGTATTTAATACGATTTGTTTGTGTAATCTTTGTAGTTAGCTTTGGTCCTATCCCAGTAGTCGTTGTGGCTCTTGTGACAGGTACAGCTCTTGGTTGGGCAACATCACTCAATGATGTTGCACAAGTTCGTGATGCATATGAGTTGATGAAAGGTTACAAATTGATTTTTCCAATCAGAGAAATGTTCAAACACATGGATGAAATCATGCCGTATCTCTCGACAACAATTCCCACTGCTATAGCAAATGCTATTGTAACAATTCAATGCGTTGAATCGGCTAGACAAGCTGGAGATTTTTATCCAACTCAAGAAGCGATGTTTGCCGACGGAATAGGCACTCTTATATCTAGTTTCTTTGGTTCATTTCTTAGCATGACGAGTGAGAAAATTTCTTTTGAATAAATCATGTCAATAATATTTGCTTTAGCTTACATTGGTCATCCTGCAATGAAAAAGATGGGCGCCAAACAAGGCTACTCATTGGTAAACGGTGTCGTCTTCCTACCTCTTTGTTTTTTAGGCGTCAATGCATTCATTATGTCTCTCATTTCTATTGTAGCAATCAATCCGATCATTGTAAGCTTTTAAAAACTATAATATCGTGTTCACTCGAGCACTTTTAGAAGAATCTTGTATACTTGAGACTTTTGTTGAACGCTCGGAAGTCATAATAGAACTGTTTAACCTCGAAGACATCTTGTCATGAGAAGAAGGATGAAGAAAATGGAAAAGTCAGAAAGAAAGAAGGCTAAATCATTTGTTAACTCGATCAGTAGAACTATTGAAATCGGTCATAGTAACTATGATTACCATAAACGCACAAATCTTCTTCATAGCACAATTAGGGATAACCATTGAGGTCATTTCTAAAAGTCAGAATGTAACTTTTTTATTCGTACAGGTTTTTGTAACTGATAGACTCGATTTCCGTTTAATAGATTTTTGTTGGTTTGTTAATTTGTGCTGATACATTGGCTGACACTCCTCGTCGTCACTATCCAGCTTTTCTGGTTGGTCTCATGCCAGTAATTGCCGAGTGGGTCAAGAACACTGTCGTCACAGGTGTCAGCTCTGGTTACTCAAACTTTACTGTAGCCAATGTTCAATTCTTATCTAATGTTAGCTCCGTGATTTCGGCGTTTTCTTATCGAGGTTTGGTAAACTTCTCTGGTGGTTCTCTTTTACAATGCATTTTTATTACGGCCATTCTAATATATGCAATCGATCGGAAATTCGTTCGTGCAGCCGTATGGTCACTCCTAGCTGGTCTACTTTCCGTTTTTGGAATAATTCATGCTAACTCAGTTGGTATATTGATCAAAAATACTGATGATGGATGGCGATTTTTGGTAGCTTATACAATGATAGCCATTTTATTCTTAATCTTTCACTTTGCACAGCGAAAAAACTGGATCAAAGCGGAAATAGTTGAAGTTGATGAATTTCCAAGCAGTGAATGAATACCATGAAGAATTTGAAATCATGTGTGACATTCAAGCTTTTCTTAGGCAAACAATGATGTTCTACAAACTAAATTTTTTAATAAAAACGAGATTGAATGTTAATTCTGACATAGTTTTTTTTTCAACAACGTAACAGACACAAAGATTGGTATAAAGCGTCACATCCAAAGCTGATGATCGAGCAAACAAACTTGCCTTTCTAAATGAACGATCGATCATCTGATCGTACTAAGATGAAAGATAAACTTTTTTCAGTCGCATTGTTACAAGATTGAAAAAACTATTTTTCTAGCTTTTTTTTCAAGCTTATAAATTTTGATAGATTATCACAACTTTCAGATGACTTCTACGCAAGGGGGAAAAAGCAGATTTTAACCCCTGAAATCTCTAGAAATCT